GTCTGACTGTCAGCCTTTCCCACAGCGCTTCCCCGCTGTACAAGGAGACAGTATTGCGCTAAGACCGCAGGAGAAATAAGGTCGAGACTCGGGGAGCTTTTGTGCACCTGGAGCGCTGACTTCACCTGCACTTACAGTCGCCTCGCTGCATCACCATGTGCCGCGGCACGCGCTCCTCCCGCTGCAGGCACTGTGGTCGCTCGGCATCCGACCGGAGGACGCGCCACGATGTAAACATGTAAACGGTTCGGCGTTCATTTTCGCACACCCGAACCAGGTCCAGATAAAAAAAATTTTTCCCCCTCTTCATTTGCGCTCTCAGCCACGCTGCTTCCCGCTTCCTCTGTTTTGACTCCAGCCGGTTACGTCATCAAAAAGAGTTGTGCAGTTGGCCGGTAGACTACAGATCTCTATCTTAGGACAACTTTATAGTTTCTACTGTATATCATTTATATTGCGCATTCCTGACAAGCAGGCAAATAAAAATGATCAAAAGTGTGATTTATTGATTTATTACTTAATGCACAAAAGTCCTAGTCACCAATATTCCATTAATCTTCTAAAACAGGAGTTCTCAATCCATTTGGGTCTGGGGACCCCTTACAAGGGTGAAAAAATTCCAGGGCCCCCCTCATAAACCTCATGCTCATTTCAACCCCTAAATGCCATTGGAATATATATTTTTATTAAGTTTATTATGTTTGTTTTATTGGTTCATTCTTCTCCATGCATTTATAAAAATAAAAAYCAAAAGTAACAACTTGGTGAAATTTTTTGAGGACCCCCAGATACCTCTTGCGGACCCCAGTTTGAGAACGTCTGGTCTAAAATATCACCAGTACAGTTCTTATTGTGTTTATCAGGTTTATTTGCACATGACATCTCAAATGTTTTCTTACACTTAAACTCAGGGTTGTCCTATCCTGGTTAATAAAAAGATATTTTTCTCATTTGGTCATTTTCCAAATTCCATCTCTCTCAGTTGTTCTCCTTTATGCCTAATTCTATCTCTACTTTCGAGAGAGTTGAAAATTGAGCCATCCGTCAAAGCGCCGCTCTAAATATGTCCTCCGCATCTGTCACAGCGTGCTGTACGAGGGCAAGGAGCGTCTGATTCAGGGCTGCGAGGTCATCCAGGCCACGCCGTACGGCCGCTGCGCCAACATCAACAACAGCTCCGCCACCTCGCAGCGCATCTTCATCACGTTCCGCCGAGCGCAGCCCGTCCAGCCGCAGAACTCCCTGGCAGTGACGGACATCTGCGTCATCATCACCAGCAAGGGGGAGACGCCGCCGCACACCTTCTGCAAGGTGGACAAGAACCTCAACTGTGGCATGGTACGTCAGGCGCTTCACCGTAAACTGACGTCAGCCGTAACAGGTGTGTGAAACGTTGTGGTGGTTCTTTCAGTGGGGCTCCAATGTGTTCCTGTGTTACAAGAAGTCCGTATCTGCGTCGAACTCTCTAAGCTACAAAGCAGGTAAGTCTGAAGTTTATGTTCGTCTATCCATCTTTGTGCATCTTTTATTTTAGAGCTCAGTTATACCTGGGGTCTTTCTGTGTGGAGTTTGCATGTTCTCCTCRTGTTTGCATGAGTTTCCTATCAAAGTCCAAAAGGGCCCATTCCTCCCTTGAAAACAGATGCCTAATCTGAAATAGATTTGCCTAGTTAAATAAAAAAAAAGAATTAAAATAAAACAAACGACCCAGCACTTGATTTCACAACTTCATTCACCGGCTGACATCTTTTTGAACAATCAATTTATGACTGATCGCTTCCCTAAACGCTCGTTTTATTGTGTCGCTCACACGGGAGCACTCGTGCACAAACACGCCCCTTACRCACCAGCTTTATCTGTTTTAGCCGTTTTCCTGTGAAGGAGCCGTTTATTCATCTCCGACAACTGCACTTCCTTCCACGCCCATAATCTGTGTGCCTGCAGGTCTGCTTTGCGTGTGCGCTGGCAGAGGAATGTTTGTATCTTGCGTCTCAGTATTTCCTTGTAATTAAACTAAAATACGAAGGCAAAATGTTCATTGTTCGGCACACACGCCCTAAAAATAAACGAGTCTCATTCTGAAGCTGTGGAAAAGAAGCCGACCTGTCAAACGTGTTCTACATTATGTCATTGTTGCATCACGGGAGCGCAACTTCTCAGTTTTTGTTTTCTTTTGTTCTGCAGGTCTAATCTTCCGTTACCCTGAGGAGGAYTATGAGTCTTTCCCCCTGTCAGAGTCTGTCCCACTTTTCTGTTTGCCGATGGGTGCCAAGATCGAGTGCTGGGCGCCTAACACTCACAACCCGCTACCCGTCTTTTCCACGTTTGTTTTAACTATCAGTACTGGTGAAAAGGTGAGACGTAGTGAGACTGTGGGGAAAGATGTTTGAGTTTTCCCTGTAACTTGTTTACCCGTGGTCCCAGGTGTATGGATCAGCCATTCAGTTTTACGAGCCGTATCCAGACGAACTTCTGAGCGAGAAGCAAAAGATCCAGCTGGGTCTGCTCACCACGGTGGAGAAGAAAACGATCCCCAACCGGTCGGTACACTCCAACAAATGCATCTGTCTGCTGTCCCGCTGGCCCTTCTTCGAGTCCTTCCGCAAGTTCCTGATGTTCATCTACAAGCTCTCGGTCACGGGTCCCCATCCACTGCCCATCGAGAAGTAAGAATCCACCTTAGACTTTACAGTTTTGTCATGCTAACCTGCAGCTAACGTTAACGCTTCTCTCCACAGACACATCTCGCACTTCATGCACAACGTCTCATTTCCTTCCCCTCAGAGACCCAGAATCCTTGTCCAGGTGAGCGGTGTCTTTGCATGTTTTAAGCTTCCTGAGTTCATCAGATCAGCCTTTCACAGAGTCGGTGGTCTGTTCCACTGGTTGCTGCAAGCTTCTTAGCGATGTCTCAGTGTCTGCTTGCTCATAGATAATCACAAACTGGCTCAGCGGTGTTGATCGGGCCTCTGTTAAACTTTTGGTCGTAGATTATGGCCTTTTTTTTTACATAGAAATTAAGCTGTTACTTTCTGGTAGTGATTATAGACTAATTTAAATTTACTTGTTAAATCAGAATCAGCTAAGGGGCAGCATTATGAGAGGTCAGATTTAACTCCATGTAACGCATACATGTTAAATCTACACTAACTACGATCATGTTTATTATCGAACACGTCGTTAACTCGTCAGCAGAGTATGAATTCAGCCTAATTCCTAGGGCTGGGCGATAATTCAATAATATTTGTTCAATATCAATAGAAAATGTTCAAAAAAATTCACAGTTAACTGAAAGAAACATAACTGCTACAGGTCGAGAATTGACTGAAAAAAATAAGCTAGGACCTTTCAGCTAAACACCACCAGGAAAGTTAAGATTCACCTTCAAAATAAAAGCTTCAAGCTGYCTGCAAAACAAATAATACAAATAATCGCTTGCAGTTTATTTTGAAATGTGTAATCTAGGGGTTTCTTTCTCTSTCTCGTTGACACATTTGAGAGCTGGTTTGCTGGACTGGTCCACCATCATAGGGTTGAAATAAAAATAATTGCTTATATTGTGATACATTTTTCAGCCATATCACCGAGCTCTAATATAGACCTTAATCAGACGGACTTTACTGGACTGCAAAACAATCACAYTTTGAGTTTAAATGTTGTGGGAAAGGTTGTTTAACAGTCTGCCTTGTTCTTTATTAGTTTCAGTTTTTATTTTCAGTTTACCCAGTATTTATTATCCATCCATCCATC